ACTTACAAAAATATTTATTATATATATATGCATGTACAATATTATTATATATTTGTATAATATTTTATTAGATCGTATTCTATTTAATTCCTTGTATGTTTAATACGTGTACTCTGCTGTTATAATGATTGATGATAACGAAGTATATTTTTCTGCCAACGACTCTTCAGATGATGATAGCTACAGTTCGTTACCTGATACCTTGAGGGAACAATTACGGCAGTCATTTAACAATCAATCTTTGTTGAATGTATGTCATATAAATGCCCAGAGTGTTCCCAGTCATTTTAATGATTTGACTGTATTTTTCACCGACAACAACGTTCATGCCGTACTGATTTCAGAGACTTGGCTCAAGCCGCACCTATCTTCTTCTTCTTTTTCACTGACTGACTTTGTACTTATTCGTAATGATCGAATAGAATCAAAAAGAGGCGGTGTTGTTGCCATCTACCTCCGTAGCTGTTTACCTTATAAAATCGTCGCCGCTTCTGCTTCCGATCTTTCTACTACCGCTGAATACCTATTCCTTGAAGTTCGTGTCGGAAGATCTAACGTATTACTGGGTGTAGTTTATTGTCCCCCTGTTGTTAGCTACTTCTCCAGTCTGGAAACAGTTCTGGAATCGTTAGGGTCGGAATATGCACATCACATCATTATGGGAGATTTTAATACCGATCTTCTAGCGATTAACTCTCCCCGTACCCGCAATCTCCTTCACATCATCCAATCACATCCCTTCAAGCAACTCATCATAATATTGAGCACCAGGATACTTGGCTTGACCTAATGCTCACCTCTGCTCCTAACCGGGTCCACTCCCATGGTCAACACCTTGCTCCTGGATTTTCCCATCATGACTTGATCTTTCTCTCCTATATCCTAAAACCCCCTAAATCCTGTCCCAAAATTTTGCGTATGCGTAGCTTTAAGCGAATGGATGTCGAAAAACTGTGTTTAGATGCTTCCAAATTAGACTGGACGAACTTGGCAGCAGCCACTGACATAGACGACAAGGTCAGGATATTCAACGACGCAGTTCAGAACTTGTATGACGTTCACGCACCTGTTAGGCAAGTTAAATTAAAGCGGCCCCCCGCTCCATGGATGACAGAGGAAGTACGAATGGCCATGAGACGGAGAGACCATTATTTCAAAAAATACAGGAGAAACCGCTGTGAAGAGAAATGGAACCTCTTTAAGACTGCGAGGAATCGGTGCAACCAGGTGATACGTAACGCAAAACGCCGTCATATTCTTCAAAATATAGAAACCTCTTCGTCTTCCAATATGTGGAAGTTTCTTGGTACATTGGGCATTGGCAAACAGCAGCGCCCTGAGGTGAGGATGACAATTGGTCTAGATGATATCAATCGTCACTTCTCGTCCGCACCTCAGCTGGATCATCAAACCAAGAGTCAAACCTTGAACTATATTGCTGGTCTTGCCCGACCCAATATTGAATCCTTTAGCTTTTCTCCGGCATCTTCCGAGGACATCAAAAAAATCATCCTGTCTATCCATTCCAATGCTATGGGTTGTGACTGCATCAGCCGTCGTATGATTGTCACTATCTTGGATCAAATTCTTCCTGCAATAGCCCATATCATTAACTTTTCACTCGACTCCGGCAATTTTCCCTCAATCTGGCGTAACACTTCTCTCCCTGAACACTATCGACCTATTTCCATACTCCCCTTTCTCTCAAAAGTGCTTGAGGCTTGTGTACATAAGCAGCTATCGCAGTTTGTGTACCAGCAGAAGCTCCTTAGCCATTTACAATCTGGATTCAGACCTGGTCATAGCACAATTACCGCTCTCCTAAAAGTGACTGGCGATATTAGGCAGGGTATGGAGGACACCAAAGTCACAGTGCTGGCTTTGATTGATTTCTCGAATGCCTTTAATACCATCAGTCACGATGTTCTGCTGTCCATCCTTTCCTATCTTATGATCTCCTCGGAAGCCCTGGAATGGTTTTCCTCCTATCTTCAGGGACGACAACAGTGTGTTCGTATTGACGGCTTGTCATCGAGTTGGTGCGATCTTTTCACTGGGGTCCCTCAAGGCGGTATATTATCTCCGTTATTATTTTCAATTTTTATTAATCTCGTAACCCAACACCTTCAATGTGCGTATCACCTGTATGCAGATGACTTGCAAATTTACGCCCAATCGAGAGTTGAAGATATATCACACGCCACTGATAAAGTCAACAAAGATTTGGACTTCATAAGGAGCTGGTCAATGAGGTTTGGTTTGTCGGTTAACCCAAGCAAATGTCAAGTGATCGTCATAGGTAGCAAACAGATGTTAAATAGGTTGGACATGACGGCCTTACCACCAGTTGTTTTTAACGACATAATCATACCTCTGAGCCCAGTGGTTAAGAACCTAGGGCTACATATTGATTCGACACTTGACTGGAGAGCACAAGTCACCCACGTCAGCCAGCAAGTCACTACATGTCTTCGCGCCTTATATCGCCTCAAGAATTTTCTGCCCACTAAAACTAAGGCTACGCTTATGCAGTCCCTTATTACTCCCTTAATCGATTATAGTGATGTGTGTTATCTTGACCTGAATGCAGACCTCCTCAATAAACTAGACCGACTTCTTAATAACTGCATTCGATTTGTTTTTAATCTTCGCAAGTATGACCATGTGTCTGCTTTATGTTCCCAACTGAAATGGCTCCCGATTCGTCAACGCCGCAGTCTGCGCGCACTAACATATCTTTTTTCTTTTCTTAATTCCCCATCGGTACCTGAGTACCTGGTTCCCCATCTCCGCCTCCTTTGCTCCAGTCACGACCGAAATCTTCGATCAACAAATAATATGCTTCTTCTTTGCCCCCCTCACACTTCCAACTTCATCAATTCTTCCTTCTATGTACAGTCAGTTCTTCTCTGGAATGCGCTCCCAGTTGAAATTAGGATGTCCACTAACCGGTTTACGTTCAAGAAGAAAGTACAAGAACTTCTACAAAATAAGTTGGCAGAAAGGTCACATCGCTAGTACCCGACTATGTGTTTTTATATTTATGTATTTATAAATGTGTATATTCACCTATTGTATGTGTATACTTGAGACCTCTATGTATATATGTAGTTATGAATATAGTATTTTATTTATAGTATTTATAGTGGTAGTGTATATATGTAAGTTAGATTTATCCAACATTAATAATATAAACAAGTCAAATTCTCTGTTTTCTCTTGCACCTACAGCTTCATTTTTCTACATCACCCGAAGGTCGACTGGCAGAGAATGCCTTGGGCATTAAGTCCGCCTTTGTACAACTAGTGCATTAAGTTAAATAAATATAAAATAAAAATAAATAAAATAATAACCAAAATAGTTCATGTTTTAAAATTGGTATCAAGTATTAACTAAATAGTCACTTTACGTTTCGACCTTGAGCCTCAATTCTGCTATTTTAATATTATACGAGTATCAATAGACTGTCGATAGCATGTCGTCGAAATAGTTTTCCACTTTTCGTATTCTACTAATTATGTAAGACCAATGGCCTCCTGATGACTTGTCACTGAACTGCCATTGATACAAATGTGGTCGATGTCTTTGTAATAGTTTGGTAAACGGTACATTTTAAATTTTTAAGGCAATGATATATATAATTTTCCAGATATGGCTTTGATGAGCCATTGTCACTACATCGACAGTCTATTGACACTGTGAATTAATGTTAGTAAAATACCGATATTTTAACCAATGTCAATAGCGTGTCACTGGAATGACAGGGGCTTGTACGTTAACATAGCCAGGTTGCAATGGCTGTGGTCGGAAGCAGAATGTAACCAGCTAAAAAACTTATTACTGAAACTTATCTAAAGGACAACAATTTTGTTGATAAAAACATAATTCTTAATTAAGCAAAAGTAAATGTACGGGTGTGGACCGGCAACCGTGGTACACAAATCAGCACTCGTACATGTAACACCGAAAGCCTAGTGTACCTTACGCTCACCATAGTGAACCAATCAATACTTGTACGTGACCTACGCCTAAGTATCTAAACCCCTAATCTCCCTAGATTCCCTTGCCCTGCCAGTATATGGACCCTGCATTGAGGGTATATATCCATATATAGATAGTGCGGGAAGTCTGTTACCTGGAAACTTAGGGCAACAGACGGAGACGGGGACGGGTTTAGGAGATGATTTTCTTACTGCAATGAGCAGCAGGCACGCGAGCACTGCGAGCAGGCAATGAAATCCGAAACACAATATTAAAACTAGTACAACTAGTAACTACAAATTAGTAGGTAAAATAAAGATTTGTATCAATGTCTGAAATATATTTATAATTCTTTATAAAAATATTCATAGTATTTATAAATTATATTTTTTTCAAACTAATTTCAACAGCGCCATCTACAACATTACTCAAAGAAGGCATAAGCTTTTAAAAACATTCAAGGTAAGAATCATTCAAGATGTTCCCTTATTTCAGTTTTAACAATATCTGATATTTTTGGCATTATGTCCATGCTTCCCTCTGCCATCTGCAGCTACAACATTACTCAAAGAAGTTATTCGCTTTTGAAAAGCGGTCCTTATTACGCGGTAATTTATGGCAAATGTGGATTTAAAAAATATTTTACAAACACGTACTTTACTATTTTGAACCGAAAAATGAAATGCATTGTTGTTCTGCCTAGGGTTTGTCGCATTTGTATATTTATATTTGGATTAATTGTACTAGTGCTGTTAATGATGTATTGTCTCTGCTTCGTTATGTTGTCCAAATTATAATATTCATCAAAGATATTTTTTCTTTCTTCTGATACATTTGCAGAACATTTTAGGCGACACTTTTCACCACGTGGTGGTCCTACCTTTCTGGCGGGAATGACTTTTAGTGTTTTTGATATGTAGCTTTGACCTGTGTTTCTTAAACGTTTCGCGACTTCTGATTTCCAGTTACTCGCATTTCGCTGTCGTTTTCGTGTGAGTTTTATGTTAGAACCAAGGTTTTCAAAGTGAGAATTTGCAAGTGTTTTTGCTGCTGTTAGAGGATTGTAATTTGGGTGAAATGTTTTCACTGTGAGAAGGCTGTGAGCATGTTCGTAAGACTGGAGTTGATGAGCTGCTGTAGCTGGCAGATAAAGTTGAATCTGTTGACCGTAATCTATGCCTAAAGATTGGATCATCAACGCCGTCATCTGACTCGACGTCGAACTCACTACTTATATCGGCTTTACTGAGATCTTCAGTCTTTAGTATACCTAAAATATAAATAAATTTGTATGATAAATAAATGAAACTATTATATAAATGAATGAATAAATTATAATCGTCTCCATTTTAAAAAGTCCTTACTATCTGCAATAAGAGCAATAAATAAAAAGTGCGCCGCTATACATTGCTGAACATCGCTAGTCTTTTCTGTGTAGTCATTCTCAAATAAAGCATACCAAACAAATTAAACTATAACTTAACTAACTAAACTATGTATTTTGATATTTATGTATTTATAAATGTGTATGTTCATGTATTGTATGTATATACTTGAGACCTCTATGTATATGTAGTAATGAATATAGTATTTAATTTATAGTATATAGTGTATATATGTAAGTTAGACTTATCTTAAATGAAAAAATTTAATACAAAAAAGTCAAATTCTCTGTTTTTCTTGCACCTACAGCATCATTTTACTACATCACCCGAAGGTCGACTGGCAGAGAATGCCTTGGGCATTAAGTCCGCCTGTGTACAACTTGTGCATTAAGTTAAATAAAATAAACTATGTAACTACTCTGTTAGCTAGAATCGTTACAAAGTGACTGAGCAATGGAAATCACTTCGTTGCCGCGGTACAAGCCTCGAGCTTAGTGCAGAAACCGCTGTTAATTCCGAAATTTGTAAATTGTTTCTTGTAAGTGTATAAATAAGTAAACAAACTGAGGATCAAATACTCGATTAGACGCGCTGATTTTTAAATTAATTAGGGGCAAACAAAATAACGTAGTTTTTGTTTGGTAAATTGACAAAAACTTAAACTCAAATGACAGGAGCAATGATTCAAGGACAGGAGCAACACTAAACATGTCGCTGTTCGTGAGCAGGAATACATTGGCGATTTTCTCAAGGAGCTTTGCCGTTGGCGGTAGGTCGATGACATCAATTTATTATAATAACTAGCTGACCCGGCAAACGTTGTATTGCAAAACAAAAAAAAATTAGGGATGGGTCACCCTTACCATTTAGGGGTATGAAAAATAGATGTTGGTCGATTCTCAGACCTACCCGATGTGCACACAAAATTTCATGAGAATCGGTCAAGCCGTTTCGGAGGAGTACGGGAACGAACATTGTGACACGAGAATTTTATATATAAGATATGACAAACTCCCCATCTTATGCCAGTTCGTAACGTGGTCAATTAAAACAAAATATCTAGGGGATATTTCTACTTACTGTTATACGCTAAAATAAAACAGTTTATTATTATTTATTAATTTAATATAAACTTGTATACATAAGAGCATATACTTGATTATTATCAGTAAATTATCATCACAATACAAAAGAAAGATTCATTTAAGATGTGTGTGATGTGTGAACATGTTCAGCCAATTTAATACAGTCCTAGTATTTTAAGGGATAGCCTTATATAGGAATATTGATTACAGTAAATATGGTGTTATTATCTGCTTAGCTTGTGATTCCTGAGTTTAGCAATTCAGGAGTCAGTGAATGTTTACTTGCACTTGCTACTTAAAGAGACTTGAAAGTGATTATAAATGAACCATCAGGTAACCTGTCGGCTCGTTTGCCCCCTATGGCATAAAAAACAAACCAAAAAAAAAACGCTATGACCTTAGATATTTTAAAATTTCATGGTTCAGTTACAGATTCTTAGTGAATTGGCGAATTTAATTAGAGCTCATAGTTGCTATTTAGCAAGGAGGCGTCTCTGGAGGAGGAGGCTCTAAACTAAACTTTAAGTTTAAAAGCAGAATTGACAGCTGTCATAGGGCTAATAAAAGAAAATATTTAGTAATATACTTTAGAATATAAATTGCAGAACTTTTGTTTTTGGAGTGATGGAGTGTGTTGTACAAGAAGTACTTGTAGAAGAGCAGACTATCTAGATGACATTTTCGGCATCTCAGGCAAATGATTGTGTATGTTTTTGATAAACTGAATGTCCCCGTCGTAAGTGACGACAATAGCTTTGCATCCGGTCCGCTGTTTCACACACCGCCATCGTCCTCGGCCTCTGTTTTCACAATGGAAGCTGTACCGGTAACCGTCCATGTGGATTTGCTGGTGACCTGATTTTGAAGACATGAATACTGCGGCTGTTGGCAAATGTACCTGGTTATTAAGCGAAACTCACAAAAGGTTTGGATATACTTAACTTATATACTACTATATACTTATATACTACTATATATACTACTTATAAATAGATAAATGATATTTTTACCTTCTTTGAAATATATGAACACAATAGAGTTGGAATATTTTAAGAATGACGATATTTAAAAAATATATCTAAATTCAGTATGCCTTATTTTTATTTCTATTTATAAGCAGCTGTTTACAAGAGAATAAACATAAGTGTTAAATATAAAGCATAAGTTTTCTATTATACGTGGCTGGCAATTGTATAAAAGGTATATATTTAATTCATTTATTCCCATATGGCCCTAAAGGATTGGCAAAGCTACCCACTTTAGATCTTAATATTTAGTGTGACCACTAATAAATTATTAAAAGAAACAGCAAATAACAATGAATCCAACTAATATTCGAAAAGGTGATACTGACAATGACATCTTGTCATACTAACTCTCGAAAACATTGGTTCTGTGGCAACCAAATAAATTTTATTTTGCTGTTGCTATCGGAGACCGACAATAATTAAAGGAAAGAGCGTATTACACAAAAGGTCTATAGGCTTATCGTAGTCACTTAGCATCATGTGACTGTCTGCTTATTTGGTCCTTACTTCATAAAAAAGTGTTATATTATCTAGACATGTATGAGCATTAGCAGTGGCGGCCTTAGCCGTTGCGAGACCCCACGCAAAAGAGCGCCAGTAGCAGGACGTGAGCTTTATAATGCGAGGTTTTAGGCGCGAAATCCAAATGAACATTGTTTTAAACTTTTAGATTGCGAGTGAGCAAGGTCCCGGGCGGTTGTCCTACTCGCCACCACAAAGGCCGCCTCGGAGCATGAGTAGGCTGTAACTGTGTTTGAACAATAAATCACTATATCAATTACCAGCTGATTGCGAAAATCACCATTTTCCATTAGAACACCTCGGATCCGAAAGCACTTGTTAATAATGTCACTTGGCTGGGTTTTACTTACTCGTATAATGGTTTTAAGGAACGACCGATCTGTAGGCTGATCTGTAAATGTATTTCCTAAGTTTCTAAAAGAAATAAATACAATATTTATTATTATTTTTGTCTAAAGTTTACTTTACTCTAAGTCACATGATATCTCATAAATTTACTTTTCTATTCCTAAAGCCGCTCGAATAAGCCCGGTGGCTAATTATTTAAAGTGGCAAATAAAACAAAAACTTGAAAACAATTTTTTTTATTTACACAACATTAACATACTTGAGCAATAAATAAAGATTAATATATAAAAAACAAAATACTATTTAAATTCTATGGTTTGGCGAAATTTAAAAGATAGCGTTAAAACTTCATATAGGATACAACTAAAGAGTTAAAATTAATACTTAAAACTAGAAAATAAATATTTACTCGAATACAAAAGGTAGTATTTCTTATTTCTACATTTATTCATCACCATCATCAGTAGTACATATATCGGTGCAATATTTTATATAATATCGACAGCCACTCGATGAAGAATTTATGGATATGACATATTAAAAAGTTTTACATTACTTAACATTTCTACGTAGTATATAATTATTGTTTAGTTTTAGTTCACATTTCATATACGTAGCTGAATTAAACGTATAACGACTATTTATTGTTTAGCAAAGTTACCGCAACTGCAATGAATCATCACCATACAGGAACTGTTTAAAACTACAGTCCAATAGACGAATTTTTAATATCTACAAAAATAAAGTAAACATGCTTACAATAGACAGTGTAGTTCGTTCAATTCTGTAAAATATTAATCATAAATCACTGGATGTTTTGAGCATTATATAAAAACAAAATTACTAAAGAACCAGAGTCTTACAAATTCTGTCACACAAATGTCCTTTATGGATTTCGAACTCTCAATACTGCGAAAGGCGTGCGCTGGTTTAGTTAAGTATTTGCAAAAGTTTTTCAAGATAATAAGAATCACACAAACTATAAGGGATTGCTTTGGGAAAAAGCATGACTTTGCAATGTACATAACATTTATCATCATCATCATCAACAGCCTATAATAGTCCACTGCTGGACATAGGCCTCTCCTTAGAAAGGAGGTTTATAACATTTGTTCATGAGAAAATGAATTGAGTCGGAATTAACTAGAATTAAGTCAGTCTTAATAAGCATTGATGTTTCATTGAACTCCGGTCAAGTAACAAACTGTGAAAATTCATTCAAAGGTACCGCTTCCTTTTTTCGTTGGTGGGGTAGAGAATGTCTTCGGATCTCCACCTTCTTGGAGACTCAAGAGCCAGGAATATGTGGTAATTTTACTAAGAAATGCCGCGCGAGTAGTTTTTCAAACTAGACTCTATCCCCGGAGGAAGACGGCCAAATAAAGTACCGATGCTTAGCTGACAATATGCGAAGAAGTGACTGCCGCTAATTATTAGCAGAGGAGCTAGGATGATCAGCTATAGCGATCACGATTGTGCGTATACTATACCCTGCTCTAAAATACTCTCTTTAACAAAAGACTTATGTGGTGGATGGTTATGATCGTTGTACACGGCTACAATATCATTGTCCTTCGTCTGCAAGGTCACTCGACAGCCTCTGTATGCTCTTTTGGTACAGCGCCATCTCTTTATCGGTCCTTCCCGCTGGAGCAATGTGTATTTGTGGCCACCGTATACTAAGTTCCAGTAACCTTTATCTGTTTGGATGAACAGAGGCCGTTCTGAAATTTAAAGAATAACAATTTAGTTTATGTTTCATTTTGTTTTATAACCGACTTGTTTGCTCTTGTAATAGACGGACACAATACTTCTGTATCTAATAAATATAAAGGGTTAGGATGTTTTTCGTTCTCATTATTATCAAATTTGTCAATATACCCCTTTATATTTTTTATAGATTCAAACTGATTGTTAACTACTTACTATAACACTATAATATATTATTTACAAATAAACTATTACAAAACATCCTATTTTATCTCGCAATTACTCACTGACTACACTGCCCGGATGGCGTAGCAGTTACCTCGCCGCTTCTACTGCACAGAGTGTTGTGGGTTCGATCCCCACATCGGACAATAATTTGTGTAATCTACGAATTGTTGTTCTGAGTCTTTTCTTTGTGTCCATTTCATGTGTGTTTGTAAAGTCGGAGTACGGAAGTTGTAAAAAAACATATAATGCAGTCATCAAATGGATTTTGTAAAATGTCTGACCTAAGGATTTATTCAAATCGTATGTGATTGACCCGTAGACTGCACGACTTATATGCATACGTTTATTTTCTTTTCCAAAACGAGTTTTTGATTATAACTCAGCTTCTTCCAGCGATTTAGCCTCCCTGCTACCTCGTGGTAAGCATACCGTTTGTAACAAGATATATGTAACTGCGCGACGAGAAACATTAGAAACAAACCTCCGCCCGCTGAATCCAATGCCTCAATATCAAACAATAACCTGTGTCTCATTGCCGGGTATGACTCTCTTAAATATACGGGACAAAAAAAAGTTACGTACATTGAAATGGACTTTATTGAATATTACATTTAAAGCGTTTACATATTTTTACTTAAAAATAACACAAAGTGAGATCTTAATTTTTATATGTATAATCACGAGCCAGATACATTGAATCAACATACAAGTAGCAGGCTTAGAACGAGCTAATAGAAAAAAAACTTGATTAAAACCCCTATATTTTGAATGAAGTATTGTTAATTTATTGTTTAAATATTTTTAATAGAAATCAGTGTGTTTTAAGGCACACTGCATTATTTTTATATGTTTTTTTTTTTCAATTAGCCTGTGCTACACCTGCGTATAATATTTGGACCTGAATTTCCACAACCATTAAACATATCTTAATATAATTCAAATATTTCTATTCTATAACAGTGAAACGAGGATAATGCAGTACTAGAATGAGATGTAGTAACGACAATGTGCTTGTTAAGTTATATACATAATAGGGGTTAAGGCATGTCCGCACGAAAAAAAAAAGGGGGTTAAGGTATGAAATTGCCGTTGTATAGTACTTACTAGATACTTTGAATTAACATAAAACCTTCATGGTGTGAGATTTTCGTGTAAATTTTTTCACATGATACCTAAGAAGTTCTTCTTTTAGAAAATGTGCAACATCCGATTTTCGACTCCCACTTTTTTTTTTTATTCAGCTTAGACGTGAAAGATGGACACTTCGAAAGCCCAAGTCATTCTTGAATACGAGAAACGGCTCGCAAAATCAATGCTGCGTTTGGAGAGGAGGCTATTAATTGATGAACCGTTGCGTTTTTGGTTTAAACGCTTCCGTAATGGAAACTTCGACTTGAAGAACGAACCACGTAATAGACTGCCCATACAGGTAAATAACGCTGCATTAAAGGAGTACGTGGAAGCCGACCATTGCTACAACATTGACTTTGCATTAAATCAATAAGATAAAAAATGGGTTCTTTATGATTTGACTGATCTGCAGAAAGAAATGCGTGGTGAAACTTGTGTAGATCGAATTGTGACATGGAACGAAAAGTGGATTGTTTACAATAACCGTAACCGAAAAATGCAATGGCTGACCCCAGATCAAACACCGCAACAGTCTTAAAGTTAAGCTTTTCAATAAAAAGTTAATGGCAACTGTTTGCTGGTCTCTTCATTATGTTATTCACTATAGCTTTCTCAGGTCTGGTCAGCCAATAACAGTAGATGTTTACTGTACCGAACTTCGAAAAATGATGGTTAAACAGCCCCGACTTGTGAATCGATCTTCACCATTCTTGCTCCATGATAGCGTAAGACCTCACTTTGCACTAGAAACCGTTGTAACTCTACAGGAGCTGCAGTTAGAAACCATACGTCACCCTCCGTACTCACCAGACCTTGCTCCAACGGACTATTATTTTTTTCGTGATTTGGACAATTTTCTACGTGATAAAAAAAATCTTCCCAGGAGGCAGTACAAAATGCTTTGACACGGTTTGTCAAATCTAGATCCCAGAGTTCTATCGTAAAGGCATACATGATGACTTCTCTTTAGATGGCAGTAATGTATAAATAATGAGGGTAAATATTTTGATTAATTTGGTTTCATTTTTTCAGTACAAATCGGCAAAGTCATACTTTAACACCTAATATATTTAAAAATAGATTTGCTTTTCTTGCTTTGTACACATGATTGGAACAATTACGGACATCACTATGCAATCGACAAAATGGTATTCACGAACCTTACCTATAAATGAAAATGAAATGTTGTTAGGTAAAAACGTCACTAAGGAATAACTGGGACGATAATATAGTAATAATAGTCCGAATAAGGGTTTTACACAAAAAAAAAAACAATTGTAATGCAGCTCGGAAAACTGGGAGATTTTAACATGACGATTTCTATGCAGTTAACTAATATCCTATATACAGTCAGGGAATTAATAAATAAATTAAGCCGGATGGAGTCATTGCTATCCAGTGACCTAGCTGCTCGTTAGCGGCCTGTAGGTATTAGAAACAAAAAAACATCAAACAAATCAGTCAAAGTCAACAAACAGTCTAGGTAATAAAACATATTTTGGGCAAGTTATTATTCCAATGTCATCGACCGCACAACTCACTTTGATTTTATATTTGTTTGTTCTTAAGGTATTAATATCAGTGGCTATATTCACTTCGTCGTACTTATATGAATCAATTATGACATTTACCAATTCTCCAAACAATCTTCACCGACTGACAAAGAACTACGTCTAGATCATTTTAATATATCCAAAAATCATATTAAAACAAATTAAGTAAAATCATATGAGGGAACACAATAGTAACTTTAAATCATTCAATAAGTCGACCTGACGTTTAATATGTCGATTACAATTGGACGGAATGGGCTAATGAAAAAATCATATAATTTTGAATGAATAATTAAAAGTAAATCAATTTCGTGAGAGTTGTCAAGTTTTACATCAAACACCTAACCAACGGCTATTCGTCATGTTACGTTCTACAAAAGCTTTCACTATTATTTACGATTTTAATGTTTCGTGAAACTATCCAATTTAAAAACCGAAATTAGCGTTTTAAAAACACGCTAAACGCGCATAAAAACGTATTTTTTTTTTAAATTGGAATCTTCATGTAATATATATTTACAATAATAGTATTACAGACGTTAACAGTACTGCACTTTCCCCAGAGAATACAACATCCTTTTATAAGATTCAAGTAATTGATTAAAATTTTATTAAAAAATCGTATTTATTGCAACTGTCAATATCTAAAAAAAAATAAAAATAGAAATAAACTTTCTATTTCGTTAAGATGGAAATATTTTAGTTTCATCAACGTTTCTTTCGTTCGTTGACATTCCCATTTACTGTCAAATATATATCAGCGAGCCATACTCTGAATGCCACTATTGAGCCACGTTATCTATATAGGTACTCGCTTAACCAACTTTCTTTTTCGGTAAAAGTTATTTTCGGTAAAAGCAATGGATCTGCTCACGTTCAGTACAGTGACATAATCATAGAATCAGTAAGTCACATACAAGTTCTTTTTGACCTTCTTAATTCACTTTAAAATATATTAACTGATTTATTATACTTAGGTATTATAGAATATAAAAAAAAACAAGTTATTTTTTTATTACAACTAAACTAAAAATTAAAGCCACTAGACGTTTTTCGTGTTATACAAGCAATTTCATATTTGATTTGTTACTGCTATAAAACTTGCTATCTTACTTTTTACAAATACCCGCAAATGCTTTCAAACTGGCAAGTACGCATACGATGAAAGGAAATTGTCGCTTTGCTACAATGGCAATGGCCTTAGATCTGACAAGATGATACTATATTAGATACTGACAGTGCAATAGATTTGCAATATTCGAATAATTTTCTCAGTACTTGTTTAGGAACTATCTATCCAATGGACACACTTATTCAAAAAGAGTAAAATATCAAAATGAACAAATGCACTTAACTACTAACAATATTTAATAATTAAAATGTGAACAATCTTCAAATTCAAATATTCAAGAAATCAATTAGGAACAGAAGAAGAAGAAATACACAAATAGCTGTGTTTAAAGGTTTTGATATAAGATGAGAAAGAAAGCTTTAAAAGCTGACTGACGAGATCTGGATTCCATATAAAACTAAAATAATATTATTAAATCTAAAACAACAAATATAAGATTATTCTCCGCAATCAATGAAGTCAGTTACGAGTGGTTATATATAAAGTAAGCCACAAAGCAGAGTCTATGCTCATCTTCAACATATATAAGGGACTAATTCATAGGAACAACTTAACTTGGCGGGTGGGTGTGTTTATTTTGCTTATCAACCATCGTATGACCTATTGTGACAACGATGGCGTGGCAATCCCATTCTCGACTATCGGCGCAGAGCCACTTAACGCGCGACGAACAAACTGAATGCCGAGTGTATCTGTATCCACGTATCTTCATGATCTTCGCGCCAATACCCGATGTGAAGAATTTAGGCCGATCTGAAAAGATAAAATATATTAGTACCTACCTCGATCCAAGGTCTACCTTGTTATGAATGTTTAGATACACTATTAAATACACTATTTCAGAATAGATGTTGCTGATGGGTGAAGATTAAAAGGTAATAATAATAATTGTAGAAAAATAACCATGATGCCAAATTATTTTACATTTTATTTTTAATCACTTTAGTAAATCAGTACATTAAATAGGTAAAGCATTTTTATATATGTATGTCTTCTGCATGTATAATTCACCTTCCTAAAGGAGGCTAATATTTACAAGGTTTTTTTTTATTTTTTTAATAATATGATAAAAATATATAAGAAAGAAAATTGCTACCGCAAAATACTCTAGACAAACTTTTAGGTATCAAGAAAAAATATGATTGTATTGTATTTGTAAAATTGTAATATTGATGATCTTTTTGAATAGCACCAGTGATATAGATCACTCATTGACTATAGATAATGATTAGATTGGAATGGGTACATATTATTTAGTAAACATATAATTAAGCTTTTTCATAACATAAATACTAACTGTAAAGTTCTCAAGGCGTTCCATAACACGACTTCATATTTGTGAAAATAAATAAATTATGCACAGAGCGTATCCAGCACCATTTCCTCACAAGGCGTAGTAGTATTTTTATTCACGGTAGCCCTAACTCTCTTCAGTGCTATTTTGCAAGCTCTCAGGGATTACTCTCTAGCCCTTCATAGTCTCTGAGGCGGTGGATGGTTATGTTCATTCCTTATCTTTACTATCTCGTCTCCAATGGTAAATAAAACTGCAGTGCAACCTTTATGCACGTTGGTACCACACCACCATCTAGTCTTGCAATTTGTTGTTCTCTGCTTGAGGAATTTATAGCCACCGACGGAGATAATAGCAGCACCACGACTTCCCGTTGTAAATACTATATCTGGAAGAAGAAATTTTTCAATGACCAGACTTTTAGGCTGCGTTTCCACGAGAAATGTGCGAGGTAGCTGAGCAGTGCGAGGATGTATAGCGACGCTATGGGATGATGTGAGTGCTTCTATCAGAGATGTGTGAACAAGGTGACCGTGCGAGAATGTGTAGCGGACTCTTCTATACATTTATACAAATAAATAAAATTGAAGTGTCTGTTTGTAATGTCAAAATTATAGATTTTTTTCCATGCTCACACAGTTATTTGCATGATACCTATGCCTAAAAACAAGTTTTTTTTGTCTGCCTGTCCGTCTGTTTGTTCCGGGTAATCTTCCAAACGGCTGTACCGATTTCGATAATATTTTACTACCAGGTAGCTGTCTACATAAGAAATAACTTAGGCTATTTTTTCCTCTCAGAAAAACCCTTTAAAATTATGCCCGGTCCGGGCATCGAACCCACTTAAGCAGTGCTTTTCAAATTCCACGCGAATGAAGTCGCGGGTACCAGCTAGTTTCAGATAAATAAGCAGTTTGCTGTGTGGCAACCTCTGACAAACACTGTCTAGTGACTATTACGCTATCGCCTGTCCCTCGCACACATCCCTCGTAATATATCTGTTTAATAAATAAACGTAGTTAAGATAGTATATTAAAAAAGGCGGGTAGTTGCCTCACAATAGGTTAGTGCGGTCTTGCTTCTTACACACAAAAGTATTGAAATCGGTCGGATATGCACGCGGTGTCAGTTACCAAAATAAGGAAAATTTCGGTCGGTTCGAATGCGCGTAGTGTCGCAGTGCTATGTATCATTTTGCGTTATTGTTATTGGCTGGTTGTCTACTGGTTACGGAAATACGGGTTGGGACCACATTGGTAACGTAGTTTATCAATATACAACACATTTAGATAGGAAACATTTACACATCACAGGGTTTCGAATAGAAGACGGATCTGCCTTATTGGTAAGTTGCTAAAGTTTGGGGTCTCGGAAATATTCCAAACAATATCCTTCGAGCACATCGTTAGTTTTACTTTTTTCCAAGTTATTTGAAAGTTATATAAAGTCATCAGTAGTAGGTGTTACCTAATATATGCCTATAAGATAATACCTAAAAGAGACGAAGAAAAAATAAAAGACATATTGGTATTAAAAGTCAACTGGTAAAGTGAACTTCAACAAACTAAAATATTCCTACAGGAAAACCACTTTGACTGTCAACAACAGTTGATAAAGCCGTGACATGGCAAATAATCAATCTATAGCTAATATCACCTCTGTCCAACACGAGGTAGTAGAACATCAGATGTCCTTTCCTGGCAGCTATATATCTTGATATCGTGAGAGGCTGCCTTGTCCTGTACTTCATCAGCAGGAAGACATGTTCATGTCACTTTTCAGCCTTTCAAGATATATAGGATATGTTTAAGTCGAGGTCTTAAAATACAGTGTGTTACGATAGCTCTTTTTTTATTTAAACAATATTACATTACAAATCATTAGAATTAAATTATTTAAAAAAATATATAAAAAATTTCATAAGATAATTGATGATGCTTACAGTAATCGTGTGTTTACGTTAATTATTAAAATCTATGTCATGATATAAAGGTTGATGCGTATGCGCATTTCTGCCCTTAATGATATTATCGTCATGCGTGTACAATACAGCGTTACACCCTTTCTTCCTATGGCTGGCGCAAAACCAACGCGTCAGTTGGCCTCTTTTCAAATGTCTCGAGAACTTATACCCCGAGAGCATGATTATACGTGCTCCTCTGGAAGTCCTTAAGAACACCGCTTCTGTAAATGAAAAAAATATATAAATACCCTAAATGTTTTAGTGTTAGTAGTAAGTATAAGTAGTACATCATTTATTGATAGCTAGTTGATTATCTCTTAATATTCAATCAGCCTGCAACCATGGCCGGTGCGGGGTGTCGGGCGGTCCGGGTTATTGCTACTTTAAATCATATTCATTTGATGAAATGATTGGTTTTAGTCACAGCGATTCCACATGTAATTTGGATTTCTTCATAGGCAAAGATAAATAGCATTAAAATCAAACAAAATTATGTTTATCAAAAATTACGACCTTTTTTTAGATTTAGACCTTTCGCGAGTCTTACGCTAGGGTAATAATAATAAATATGTATCAGTGGTTTTGTAAATCAGTCACATGTGTAGTTATATGATTATAAATCATATGATCTATCACATGTGATTGTGATTTTATGTCATCCCTAGTGTGTAGTGTCTGTCGTGTGGTCGCTTTGTCGTTCGTATGCTTACATATTTAAATAAAATATAAATTAGATATTATATTTTCCTGTTTTCCTGTAATTTTTTTTGACTAAGTAACAATGTTACGACTGTAAGCAAACCATAAATAAATTAAAAAAATATTCGTTAAATAAATAGCAGTGTCTATTTGCTTTTTTATGTTATTTAGAAGATTAACAAGAATTTATAGGAAAATGAATTTATTGACTGTAATATATAATTAAATGAATAAGCTATAAACCTTCTTTTTAAAGAGAGGCGTATGCCCAGTAGTGGACCATTAAAAGCTGCTGCTGATGATCAAGATGAATAAACTATTGGTAAAAACAACTTCAACTGTAAAACTTATGTTAAAGGTTAAAATCAAAGGTATTATACAGCACAGGAGCAAAACAAGAAGAACAGAATTTTAACTCTAATTTTCATCACTGGCTAAAGCAATGCATTTAGGGTAGTCACTACTTCGGTGTTCACCACAAATGAACAAACGTCTAGTTTTATCAGCCTTCGGATGGTAAAGGGACAGAACGCTCATATCTATTCTTATTTCTTTTCTTTCTTTTAAAAAGACAACTCCCGCATTAGGAATATATCCTGTGTCGGACTTTACAAACATACATGAAACTGACACAAAGAACACCCAGACTCAGAACAACAATTTGTGGATCACACAAAGTGTCGTCCCATGTGGGGAACGAACCACAACACTCAGCGTAGTAGGAAGTGTTGTGGCGACCGCTTAAACCACTACGCCATCCGTGCAGTTCTAATTGCTCATTTTCCTAAGTACTTCCTTCTTTGCACGCTTCACCACGCCATAAAATCAAAACACTTAAGAGCTATGTGATTCATGTAATCGATGTAATCCAATAGCTTCTTAATTTTTATGATATTTTATATTTTTTCTTTCTTTTCTTACCTTGATGTGTCGAAAATGTATGGAAAAATGCACATTGAGAAAAAAATAATTGCAATATGCAATGGAATTTGAAAGCGCTGCCTTAGTCGATTCCTGATTCGATTCCCGGACCAGGCAAAATTTAATAGGGTTTTTCTGAGAGAAAAAATAGCCTAGGGCTCTACTTAGATACGTGGTTTTGGCCAACTGTACTACGTTGGCAGGACGGGTTTGTATAGGGTTTGCTTCAAGTTTTCCTTCTCATTGCAGCGATGTTGCCCTGCGTAGGTTGCGGCTCTCACGACACCCATGAGATGAATAGGGGTGGTGACATTCCGTATTATTAATAGGTCACCACACGTATAGAATTACAGTAGTAAGTACTTAAAGTGAATGTGTGTGTGTACATTCTCGTAAACATATGGAAATAAATATTACCTACTTGTGTTTATGGCTTGTAGTAGAGGTAGCTGAATACTTAGCTTTTTATCATGCATGAAAAGATGGGTACCTCAGATATAAATTCAAAGGAAAAATATTAACAACAGATAAACAACAAAAAAGTTTATGCATTTTTGTAAAAAACTAATAGAAAAAATTATTTGTTGATGTTATAATTTTATTAACTGCGCTATTATACAAAACTTATCTTTAAAATTAACTAGAAATTGTACAGTAAATGTGTTGTCTTGGTAGGCCAGTGAGGGGTTAAGGCGTACCATGTTCAACAAACAGGGGTGTTTTAGTAACACAACAACACAACAAACAGGAGTATTTTAGTAACACAAATAGTTACAGAAGTTAACATAATGGACATTAATGATTCACGTTACTACACGTAATAAAAAAGAATAACCGACTTCAACAATATACTCGTATATTACAAAAAACTAAATTAATTTAGAAATGCCTAAAACTGAAAACCAAATTGAGAATATTCTATTTGAAGTTGTCTAATATTATAAAATACATCTGACCCGGCAAACGTTGTTCTGCCATATATATTATCAAAAATCAAATCATGATTAAAAAGTGGCAGTGGAATCTTAATTCCACTGCCATTTTCACTGCCATTTTCGCTCTTAAGCGAAAAATACTTTACTTTACTCATGCTTACCATAAAAAAAAAACGTTAAGATTCGTCGAGGCGTTTCGAAGGAGTCGCACAAACACTGTGACATTAGATATTTATATACTGGATTAGCCGACTTCAAATATAATATCATTAAACTGAACTTAGTAAATTATTACTGTGTGTTAACAGTCAAATTGTTTTGTAGCCTTGGTATGATGCGCTCATTACTACCATTCTTAACTATTAATAATACAACTTGCTGTAACTGTAAATTGTGTATGCGGGTGTGAGATCCGCTTAACCGTTATCAGTCTAATCGTTACATTTGCCATACAGGAGTACGTTCATGAATATGCTTATTATTACCCCTAACAATATCACTTTGTACAGTATACATGTAAGCACCACATCCCTTCTTCCTATGAGTCCCACAGAACCATCTGACTACACCGCTCCTAGTGCGATGCTTTAAAAACTTGAAACCGGACACTATAAGCATTGGGGCTCCTCTTGCAGACCACCCAAAGAACGGAACTGAAACATACAATAAAATATGCAAAATTATTAATCCATTAAGTACATTGTATCTTTGTTTTTTTTTATGGAAAAGGGGTAAGCGAGCAGACGGGTGACCTGGTGGAAAAGGACTTCTGCCGCTCATGAACGCTTGCAACTCAGGAGTTACAAGCGCGTTGCCGACCTTTGAAGAAGGAGTAAGCTCTTGCCTGACTTTTGGACCAGGTTAGGGTAGCAATTCCCGTAAACATAATGATATCTCATGAAACGCGATAGTTTAAAAGTTAGTAGTAACTCTAAATTTTATATGTTCTTAAAACGTTGGAAATACACTAAGAAATAAGAATTGAAAGCGTGGCTTTTTTTTTTGTAGAAGTAACTAGTCAGCTTTTAGCATTGCCTACCTCAGTTTT